AGTTGTTCTTGTAGTTATTATCATTATGATTATATTCGTTATTATTATTATCATTGCTATCATTATATCATCATCGGCGTATTTTCTTATTCTTCTTGTTGTTCTTTTCCCTCTTTCTTCTTTTTCTGCCTCTTCTTTAATTTCCGCGCGGGGAAACTTTTATTAGTAGCGCGTCCCTACGAGAGTTATGAGGAAAGGTGACTTTAGCGTGAAATTTTGTCTCGAGGAAAAAAATTGAAAATGAAAGTCTAATTTCGCTTAAGAGAGAGATAATAATAAGATGGGAGAAGAGAAGGAGGAGAGGAGAGGGAGGGGGAGGAATGGGAGGAGGGGAGGGGGGGGTTGAAGAGTAAGAAAAAGAGGAGGGGGAGGAGGAGGGAGAAGGAAGAAGAAGAAGAAGAAGAAGAAGAAGAAGAAGAAGAAGAAAGAGGAAAGGAGGGAGGGAAAAAGAAGAAGGAGGGAGAAGAAGAAGAAGCAGAAGACGAGGAGGAGGAGGAAGAAGAGAGAAGAAGAAGAGAAGCAGAAGACGAGGAGGAGGAGGAGGAGGAAGAAGAAGAAAAAAAGAAGAAGAAGGAAAGGATGAGGAAGGATGAGGAGAAGAATAAAAAGAATCAGAAGAAAAGAGAGAAGAAAGAGAGGAGGACGAACGGAATTAAAAAGAAGAAAAAGTTGAAGAAGAGGAGGAAAGTGACGAAGCCACCATCCCTGCTACTACTACCAAAACAACAAATACTGACCTCGAAAAAAGATAAGAAACTTACCCAAACATAAGGACTGAAAATTCCTTCAATATCTTAGATCTTGAGCGACGAGCCTCCGCCCACAGGAATCGCTGAAGAGACGATGCGGGCCACGTCATCCCGAATATGAATTAGACATTCGGCATCATCAAAGCATTTCGGATTGCTGAGACTGCAGCGCAAACCGGTCCTCATGGAATCAAATCAGACTTTCGGTTGCAAATTGACAGCCGGGGGATGCGTGGTGGGAGGGGGATGAAGAAGAAAGGGAACGGGGAAGGAAAAGGAGAGTGGCGTATGGGACACGGGGAAAGGGGAAGAGGGGGAGAAGGTGTGTGACACATTCGAAGCTGAGGTTCACACACACACACACACACACACACACACACACACAACACACACACACACACACACACACACACACACACACACACACACCAACACACACACACCACACACACACACACATATATATATATATATATATATATATATATATATAGTATATATATATATATATATATATGTATATATATATATATATATATATATATATATATATATATATATATATATATATATATATATATATATATATATATATATAAATATATATATATTATGCACGCATGTATGTATACACATATTTGTGAAGAATACACTCACGCACATATTGAAACACTGCCCAGAAGCACACTCGAAAGCGTACCAAAAGCATCCTCACTGTTCTCCTGTGAGGCTATAGACATGCGCTCCCAAACGAAATAAAAGCGAGCCTAACCTATTCACTTTCTCCTATCCACACATATTTATTATAAACTTATGTTTCCTGCATGAGAGAAATGCGAAAACTTTAGCTGACTCGGCAACAATAAAACAATTCCTTAATCTCATAGATCGGCGGCTAAGAGCGGTTCGTAAATCTCGACGTCCGGCATAATTTTGTCGTACTTGGGACACGTAGAGTTTCCTGAAGAAGAGGAGTAGGGTCGGGGAGGTCGCTTGCAGGATTGGATGTGCTTCGTGCCGTGATAACGCGATTGCTTATCTCTCGTATGTAAAAGTTTGTGTGGTTGGCCGTGTTCTTGTGTATAAAATCTTTCATTCTGTCTCTGTCTATCTCTCTCTCTCTCTCTCTCTGTCTCCGTCCTCTCTCTACCTCTATCTGTCTGTCTGTCTGTCTGTCTGTCTGTCTGTCTCTCTTCTTCTTCTTCTTCTTCACTCGCTGTCGCTATCTACATAACTATCTATCTTTATCTTTCTCTTCTATTCAAAAGAAGAAATATCGCATCATAAATTTATTGTGAGACTTTTCATATCCTTTTCCAGTCTGCTTTTTATTTCTTTGCAAATGTTGGCATATTTTCTTCTCCATCGGCAAAAGTTTTCCCCTCAACTGTAAACATCTGTGATTACCAAGGAACGCTCTTTACAGAAGCTTATTCTCAAGATGAGAATATTCCCCCATGTCTCCACTCATCAGGTCTCAAGTTAATCGATATTCGATCGATGCCTCACACCACACGTAAGAAAAGAGCAGGGGAGGGGAAAGGGGTGAAGGGGAGGAGGAGGGGAAGAGAAGGGAGGGAGAAAGGGAGGGGAAAAGGAGGGGAATGGGAGGAGGGGAAGGGAGAGAAGGCGAAGGGAGGGGAAAGGGAGGGAGGGGGAAGGGAGAGAGGGCGAAGGGAGGGGAAGGGAGGGAGGGCGAAGGGGAGGGGAAAGGGAGGAAGGGGGGGGGAGGGGAAGGGAGGGAGGGGGAGGGGAGAGAAGGCGAAGGGGAAGGGAAGAGGAGGGAGGGCGAAGGGAAGAAGAGGGAGGGCGAAGGGATAGGAAAAGGGAGGGAGAGTGAAGGGGAGGGGAAGATGAAGTGGTTGAGGTAAGGTGGGTGGTCTGAGAGGAGAAGGAGGAGGAGGAGAGAAGAAGAAGAAGAAGAAGAAGAAAAGATGATGATGATGATGATGATGATGATGATGATGATGATGATGATGATGATGATGATGATGAAGAAGAAGAAGAAGAAGAAGAAGAAGAAGAAGAAGAAGAAGAAGAAGAAGAAGAAGAAGAAGGAGAAGGAGAAGGAGGAGGAGGAGGAGGAGGAGAAGGATGTGAAAGATAATGGTAAAAACGTAATAAGGAAGTATTTAGAAAAAAAGGATTAGAGAAAAGAAGCAACTACGTAATTAATTGAAAACCAAAGCCGCCACCCCACTCTTTAATCCATGCCGGAACATGTAAACAAAATTCAACATCAGGAATTTAGCATAAAATGAAGTTAGGTAATGGTAATTGCGTAAGAGAGAGAGAGAGAGAGAGAGAGAGAGAGAGAGAGAGAGAGAGAGAGAGAGAGAGAGAGAGAGAGAGAGAGAGAGAGAGAGAGAGAGAGAGAGAGAGAGAGAGAGAGAGAGAGAGAGAGAGAGAGAGAGAGAGAGAGAGAGAGAGAGAGAGAGAGAGAGAGAGAGAGAGAGAGAGAGAGAGAGAGAGAGAGAGAGAGGAGAGAGAGAGAGAGAGAGAGAGAGAGAGAGAGAGAGAGAGAGAGAGATCAAGCGAGAATGAGTGTAGATAGAAAAGATCTTTTTACCCATTTTAGTTTCCAATTATTCTAAGCCTTTGTGGTATTCCTTTATCATTACTTATTATTACTATTGTGTTTTATTATTATTATTATTATTATTATTATATTATTCATCATCATTGTTATTATTATTTTTATTATTATTATTATTATATATTATTATTATTATTATTATTATTATTATTATTATATATTATTATTATTATTTATTATTATTATTATTATTATTATTATTATTATTATTATTATATTATTATTATTAGCATTATTATATTTTCTCTTTGTTTTCTTTTTTTTTCTTTTTGCCAAGCGGGACAAAAACCTGCAGCGCCAAAGGATAAGCAGTTCACAATTAGTACCGAAGTGGCAGATTCAAGTTCCTAGGATTTTCAATTTACGTGACGATTTTAAACCTCGGGGACACGTCATTACACTTAGGCTTGACTTATTATTGAAGGCATAGATTTTTTTAAGTAAAAAAAAGAAAGAAAATGAGAAAGGAGGAGGAGGAGGAGGAGGAGAGGGAGGAGGAGAGGAGGAGGAGGAGGAGGAGGAGGAGGAGGAGGAGGAGGAGGAGGAGGAGGAAGGAAGGAAGAAAAGAAAGAAGAAAGAAAGAAGAAAGAAAGAAGAAGAAGAAGAAGAAGAAAGAAGAAGAAGAAGAAGAAGAGAAGAAGAAGAAGAGGAGGAGGAGGAGGAAGATGAATCAGAATATGAAGAAGAAAAAGAATAGGAAGACGAAGTAGAAGAGGAAGAAAAAAAAAGATTATGAAGAAGAGGAAGAAGAAAGAAAAGTGGAAAAATGAAGAAGAGGAAAAAAAGAGGGAATAGTTGAGAAAGATGGGGAAGGAAAGAAGAAAAAGTTGAAGAAGAAAAGAAGAAAACTTAGATCAAAACCTAACCTTTTCTCTGCTCATTTCTTTTTTATGTGTTTGAACGTTTCATCCCTCGTATATTCACAAACGGGATTCAGACTGTTTATTTTTATTCATTTATCTATTTATTATTATTATTTTTTTTTTTTCTGACAACATTTATTTGTAATACCGATACGATAACCCCCCCCCCCCCCCGAAATATGCCTAGCGAAACAGATAAGCAAACTAAAAGCAAAAATCCTCTGAGCATGCCATTGAATAACAACAGAGAAATATTCCTTTTTACATGAGAGACAATAAAGAAAAATCCCCCAGCCAAGGCTCAGCATAGCAACAGGGAGATGCCATTAGACTATTCACCCAACAAAAGAAAAGAAAATAGTAGACCTTAAGACAAAGCTTCTTGTGCCTTGCTCGATCAGATCAAAGGCTCGCTGTATCGACCCGGAAGATAAAAGCAAGGCGTATGGAAATAAAATACCTTTGGATAAAAGAGAACTACGTATATACAAAGAGCCTGCAATAGATGGTGGATAATGAAAGAGTACGATAGATGTTCCCGTGAGCTGGTGGATCCTGTGGACCCCGAAGGCATTAATGCAACGACACGAAAACGCTTACATAGATATAAACGCGTATAAAGGAAGTCATAATTTGTGTTGAAATTACGCCACATACAAAAAAGGGGGAGAAAGAATGGTGTACACAGTATTTATATAAATGTATCCATATTGTTTTGTCTTTATTGTTTATCACTATGTTTGAGACGTATACTTCAGCTTTAAAACCTTGTCTTTTCCTTTCCTCTTCCAGGTTCAGGATGGGCCACCTGGAGACCGCCCTTCCACGCCTCCCGCTCCTCCTGGTGGCGTGCCTGCTCTTCCTCCAGTCCTGCGCAGGTGAGTCAAGTCCTCGCGCTGTCCTGATGAACAGGGGAATATGCAAAGTAGGAGGAAATTGCGGTAAAAATGTTCACTGACATGACATTTTTCGGGACCCCTTTTTTATGCTTCGGAATTTTTTATATATGTAATTATATCTTTGATGATGTAGTTAGTTTTTTCGCGTTATTTTTATGTTATGCTTCCTGTTGTTTGTTTACTTATCTATTACCAAACACCCAATTGGGATTAGACGCAAAGAAGAAAAAAAGAAAAAGAAACAAAACAAAGGATAATAACAGATCAATGTCTCTCAAATCAATTCACGATTCATGATTGCACGCTGCTAACCGCCTCGTTTTGCACAGCATTTTATTCTGAATTTCATACCATAAGGAATTCACGGAAGAGAGAGAATACGAGTATGGACGCTCTCCGAAAATCTTTGCCCAGATATCCGGTTGCGCTCAAAAGGTATTTACGTGTTGTTGCGTAAATGATTCAACACCTTAATTACGTCTCTGATGATCAACACCTCCTCACGCCTCCCCCCCCCCCTCACCACCCCGCCTCAGAAGGAGCAAGCAGACGGCGCGATTTTCTGCGAGAATTCACGGTCGTTAGAGGAGGACGTGAGCGGCGAGAGGATGAGCGCTCCGAGGTCGACTTTCCTCTCTGACGACGAGGACGACGATGATGAGGAAGAGGAAGACAAAGAGGTCGTCGGGGAGAGGGAAGAGGCGGGTTTATGTGCATGCAGTTTGCACGAGGAGCGGGAAGGCATTCATGTAAATACACGCGAAAATATGCAAAGATACAGATATCGACAAGGATACGGACGCACAGGCACAGACAACCACGAGCGGCCACACTCAGATACAGACATAATCACAGAGAATCACGAACACTCACACTACACACACACACAAACACACACACACACAGCACACACACACACACACACACACACACACACACACACACACACACACACACACACACACACACACACACACACACACACACACACACACACACACACACACACACACACACACACACACACACACACACACACACACACACACACACGAATATTAGATGCTGTCGAACAGCACATCTGAAATCAAAACGTGAAAATATAATTTACTAATTCGAACAAATTAAAGCATAAACCGTAGATTATGAATGCATTTTATAACACGATTTGAGTTAAGCCGCAAATTCATGAGCTAAATAAGAGCTTTAAAAGCTTTGTAAAAAAAAGAATCAATGTTAATTATTCTGATGTTTTTGATGGCACGATATTTTCTAAACGGAGCCGCATAGGATCTAAAAATAGCTCGCTTCTACGTTCGTTTGTCCGCACGAATATCCCGTAAAACTCCCTTTGTTTCTCGTTCGACCTTAACATTTCGATTTTCTGCCTCACGTGTTTATATTTGTGTTTATTCAGTGAACTTAGAAATGCCGGCAAAGAGAGTACGGTTGAAGGGGGTCTCAGGGGATACTCTCTGATCCCTGTGTATGTTTTCCACTTATACGGTTGTGTACATAGTTGGAGAAGGAGGTAATAAAGCTGAGGGTGTATTAACATCGGTTACACTAGAGAGCTATGAATTTTGCTCTCCACTTATAATCGGCTGGAAATACAAACACTCAACCGGAAATCGTTTATTTATGATGAGTCTTTCTGAGAGTAGAAACGCTACTATATCATAAAGAAATAGGAAAATAGGGTAAAAAGTAAGATTTCTCTGTCCCTTTCTAAAAATCTTTATTCAAAAAGGTATTTTTTGATCGGAGAAACGCTACATTATAAGAAATAAGGAAAGAAAGAAAAACAGTTGTGAAACGAATATCAAAATGTTTTACATATATCGTTTATTCGTCTTTTTGACAAGATTTCTTTTTACTGTGTCACAAGAGAGAAAAAAATGTTACGACAATCATACTGAAATGTTTTCCGTATCGTATATATAAAAGAAAGAGAGAGAGAAAAAAGTTCTTTTGACAAAAAAAAGTCAGACAAACTCCGCCAAATCAACATAAAAGATAGCTAAAGACCATAGAGTCGTAATCCCCCCACGTTCCAGTTCCCTTCGCCGCTGGGTCATCCCCGCGCCGAAGAAAACGCAGGGCCTCGGAGTCCCTGGCGGAGGAAATCCCTTTGCTCTGCGCCGAATAAGAAACGCTAAACAGGAGTTAAGCCGATTTGGACCCACAACTCGCGGGGATGATAAGGGGGCGGCTCGGAGACAGCCTTCAGGTTCACATGGGCGAGGGAAGGATGGGGGGGAAGGGGGGGGGGGAGATTAGGAAAGGGGGAAGCGAGAGGGGAGAGGAAGGTAGCGAGGACAAGGGAGGGGGAAGGGCAGGGTAGGAGAATAGGAAAGGGGGAAGGGAGGAGGGGAAAGGGTGTGAGGAAAAGG